GTGCAGGGTTTTATGACTGAGCTTCTACAGCTTTCTTACTGCATCATCGATGTCAGAAATCTCCTTCAGCTGGCTCCACTGCTCTGGATTTAAAGAAACACCTTTTCTCCCTGGTTTCATTTCCCCTTCTGGATCCATCCAATATTCTCTAACATCAATTAAAATTTTCCTTTTAAAGTCCCAAACACTGACATACCTCATTTTCCCAATCTGAAACATGTTATCTCTGTTGCTGCTGCTCTGCTTAGAAGGGGACAGAGCTCTTGAAGTGTCACCAGTCTTCTGCTTCTTTATAGGCTTTTCTGGAGCAACTTGCTTTTTCCTCTTTTAACTTTTTGTCAACGTCACTATCAGAATCGCTGCCTGGAGAGCTTGAAGAAACAAGTTCCTTTGATTTAGGCGTTGCTCCGCTGCTGCAGTCAACAGCCTCCTGCTGGCTCGAGACTGTTAATCATATCATTTTTATACTAATGTGCTTTGTTTCCCAGTCTGTTGTACTTGTTTTAAAAACACTAAGTCAGTATTAATTTGAAGAAAATGAATAATGGAAGAAAATATAGGAAGTGAAACCCGGGGGAGGCTATACTCCTGGGCAGTTTGTATCATTGAATGCAAAATCAGTGGGCAGGCAAAGGTGGTCCAAGCCTGACCGCGCTGCCTGAGATACCTCACCCACTGCTTCAGCTGCTGTTCAGGCATGAGGAGGGCTCGCTGCAGGCTCTCCACTTTCCTTCTCAGTGACTTATACTGAAATGACAAGGACTTGAAAACAAATCTGTAGGTTTAGGAAAAGTGAATTTTTCACCACAAGTGATTATTTTGATCATTTTCTAACATGCTAGAAATGAGTTAGCTGGCCAAGAATGGTGGTGTATACCTATAATCCTAGTCAGTTGGGAGGCTGGGGAGGAAGATGGAGGTGAGTTAGGAGCCAGCCTGAGCAGCATGGTGGACCCTCTGGAAAAAGAAAAAAAAAATGCATGGAAAGAAAAGAAATGAGTTAACTTGTGGTGGGAAGAAGGTTTTGGGGACTATAATGAAAACTTATGCAGGATGTACTAGTGTGTGTCTGTAACCCAGCACTCTAGAACACTAGGGCAGGAGGGTAGCTTGTTTGGCCTAGTGACTTTGTGATTTAGACCCTATCTGAAAATAAAAAAGTCCTGAGGATATAATGGACTCATGGCTCAACCCCTATTATCATAAAAGATTAAGAGAAGTTTTGTGAATATTTTTGTAAGAAAAAAGTTGGGGGAATTTTCCCAGAGGAACTGAAAGCGTCATACATAGTGATATATGCTTACCTATGTTTATAGCAGCACAATTTGTGATAGCCAGATCTTGGAAACAACGAAGATGCCCATCACATGTGGAATGGTTGAAAGAGATGTGGTATTTTAATACGGAGTATTACTCAGCGATAAAGAATGATAAACTCGAAGCCTTCATATTTAAATGGATGCCACTTGAAGATATACTTATAAGTGAAATAAACCAGTTCCACATGTGTAAATATATTGTCTCCCTAGTGTAAGAACTCAAAAAAGGAAGTACATATAGAAAGATTCAGGGGCTGGTGAGATGGCTCAGTGGTCTAAAGCACCTACTTAGAACAAGCTTAGCAAAGCACAGGGACCGCGGTTCAATCCCCCAGCACCA